CACAGCTGCCACCATCACACTTCAGAGCTTTGCTCCTTCTTTCCTGAACCATTGCAATAACAGAGCTGCCCATATTGCTTCCAAATAAGTTATTTACTTCAGCTGGTAGAACAAACAGACTGGTGTCAAAGCACCTCAACCAGGCACCTGAGGATAGAATCTGGGTCTACACTACCTTTTTACACTGCTTACTACTCTGCTCCCAAATCTCAAAGAAACACTCTTTTGAGGTTTCCCTCTCTGGACTTCGGTCAAGTTGCCACAATTCCTAGAAAATTAATATTTCCTGCAAGACCCAACTCCAGATACCATAATGTCCACCAAAGCTTACTCAGCCAGAAGAAATGAGATGCATTTTTCTATTAAGCTAGTCCTTTTAAAAAGAGTTCTTTATTATTTTTTCTTGCAGGTATACATACCTTATATACATTTAGATCTAAGTCCTGTTCTAGACTGTAAGCCTCTGAGGCAGAGGTCCTGGCTCCTAGTATGAAGCTGGTACATTCATACATGCTGCCTGGTGTGATGCTGGTACAAAGAGTATAGTTAGATCTAGGTGTGGACGCAGATGAGGAAACTATCACTGGAATCCAGGAGGACTCGAAATAAAAATGCATCGAGGAGGCCAGCACCACGGCTCACTTGGCTAATCATCCGCTGCAGCACTGGCACCCCGGGTTCTAGTCCCAGTTAGGGCGTCGGATTCTGTCCCAGTTGCTCCTCTTCCAGTCCAGCTCTCTGCTGTGGCCCAGGAAGGCAGTGGAGGATGGCCCAGGTCCTTAGGCCCTGCACCTGCATGGGAGACCGGGAGGAAGCACCTGGCTCCAGGCTTCAGATTGGCGCAGCACACCGGCCGTAGTGGCCATTTGGGGAGTGAACCAATGGAAAAGGAAGACCTTTCTGTCTGTCTCTGTCTCTCTCTCTCACTAGCCTGCCTGTCAAAAAAAAAAAAAGCATCGTGGAAACATGCTTCACTGTTTGGGTTGCAGACAACCCTGAGGAAGAAGGGAGCACCCCCTTGTGGGCTGACAAGTAGGAGCAACTAAAACTCATTTATCCAGGCGGGAAGAGGAGGGGGCTCTGGACAGCTGCCAGGAGCAGGAGCAGTGGGGCTGGACTCTGCATTCCGGAAGTCATCCTAGAAACACATCTCTCTGTTCCCAGTTCCCATCTTAATAGAATCCCTGATTTGCAAATCAAATCAGGTCCTTCCTTCTTGTAAAGCCTTCCAAATACTTCCTAGCTCACGTGGTATGAAAGCAAGTTAATTACACTACCCAGTCCAGTGTCAAAGGGCCATGGGTTCTGTCTGATCTGGCCTGTTTGATTTCACCTCCTACAACTCTCCACTCCAGTCCACACACTCCAGGTCCCCACGCAGGGCCTCCAAATTCCTATTCCCCTTCTGAGATTGATTTTCCTCCAAATACCTCCAACATAGGCTTCGTATTATTTTTAAAGATTGTTTATTTGAAAGTCAGAGTTACAAAGAGAGAGAAGGAGAGGCAGAGAGCGAGAGAGCAAGAGCGAGAGAGTGAGAGTGAGAGAGAGAGAGAGAAAGAGAGGTCTTCCATCTGCTGGTTCACTTCCCAAGTGGCCGGAATGGCCGGAGGTGTGCTGATCAAAAGCCAGGAGCTTCTTCCAGGTCTCCCCACATGGGTGCAGGGGTCCAAGGAGTTAGGCCATCTTCCACTGCTTTCCCAGGCCTTACCAGAGAGCTGGATTGGAAGTGGAGCAGCCGGAACTTGAACCGGCATACAAATGGGATGCCACCAAAACAGGCAGCAGTTTTACCTACTATGCCACAGCGCCGGCCCCCCAGATCGGCTTCTTAAAATCTCTTGGACCTGAGGACTACTTGCGAGGTCTCTCCTCATCCCAAATCTTAGGTACTTGTACAGTCACTATTGACAGAAGGTTTTTGAGTGATCTGCTTTGCAATAGTGTGGTGGAGGCATCTGAGGATTTCATTACTTTAAAAAAAAAAAAGCCTATTTTTTTTTGACAGGCAGAGTTAGACAGTGAGAGAGAGAGAGAGACAGAGAGAGAAAGGTCTTCCCTCCATTGGTTCAGCCCCCAAATGGCCGCCACGGCCGGTGCGCTGCATTGATCCGAAGCCAGGAGCCAGGTGCTTCCTCCTGGTCTCCCATGCTGGTGCAGGACCCAAGGACCTGGGCCATCCTCCACTGCCCTCCTGGGCCACAACAGAGAACCGGACTGGAAGAGGAGCAACCGGGACAAAATCCGGCGCCCCAACTGGGACTAGAACCCCGGGGTGCCAGCACCGCAGGTGGAGGATTAGCCAAGTGAGCTGTGGCGCCAGCCTAAAAAGCCTATTTAAAAAAAAATTATGTATTTATTTCAAAGACAGAGTTACACAGAGGGAGGTGCACGTGTGCTTTCATCTGCTGGTTCACTCCCCAAATGCTCCCAATATCAGGGTGGGCCAGGCCAAAGCCATGAACCTCATCAGGGTCTCCCATGTGGGTGCAGGGTCCCAAGCACATGGGCTGCCCTCCATTGTTTTCCCAGGCTATTGACAGGGAACTAGAATGGAAGTAGAGCAGCTGGGACTCAAACCAGTTCTCATATCGGATGCTGGCACTGCAGGTGGCGGCTTAGCCCACTGCGCCACAGTGCCCCGCTGATTTCCTTGTTCTTTTGCTGCGTTCAGGTAGCAGACACTAAATAAATAAATGTTGATTGGATGAATGAAAGCATATTTCCTCTTATTCACACACTGTTAAACAGCTAGCAGGAAGGTAGCCAAAACCCCAGGTAGTTTCACCTGGTCACTGAGCCTTCGAGGAGGACTGGGCAGGATCTAGTCAGGGTTTCCCAGAGAAACAGAACCCATTGGAAAACTATGCACAGCTATCTATCTACCCAGCTATATCTATCATCATTCTATAGCTATCATCTACTTATCATCTACATATCTATTAAGGATGAAAAATTTTATTGCAAGACAATGGTTCCAAGATAAAACTGCACACCCAGGCATGCACATGGCTTAATTCCTGTTTGAATCCAAAACCTGGGGGCCAATAGATCTGATTCTGTAAGTCGAGTCCCAGAGAAGACACAGCAGGAACCCTGGAAGAGCCAATGTTTCAGTTCACATCCAAACACCCGTTCCTGCTTAGGCAGTCAGGCACGAAGTGTCATCACCCATACGGGAGAGTCAATGTTTTTGTTCTAGTCCTCATTGAACTGATTGCATGGGGGCTATCCACCTTCTGGAGAACTGTCTTTCACTCAGTCTATTGGTGCAAATGTTCATTTCATCCAGCAACACTTCTTAGACACACCCATGATAATGTCTGACCACATGTCAAAGCCCATGGCCCAGTCAGATTGACTCATTAAGTGAACCACCACACCTGGTATTTCTCATCTCCCACAGGTATCTCTCACCATGTTTTACACAGCCACATATACTCCACTGACAAGACTGAGAAAAACTTCAGGGGTCACCACTTGACCTAGTGGTTAAGATGACTATTAAGATGTCCACATCCGGGGCCAGTGCTGTGGTATAGCAGTTTGTAAAAATGCTGCAATCCCTTATGGCCACTGATTCGCGTCCCGGTTGCTCCACTTTTGATCCAGCTCCCTGCTTATGCACCTGAGAAAGCAGCAGAAGATGGCCCAAGTACTTGGACCCCTGCACCCATGTGGGACACCTGGATAGAGCTCTAGGCTCCTGGTTTCAAATTAGCCTAGCTCAGGCTGTCGTGGCCATTTGGGTAGTGAGCCAGCAGATGGAAGATTTTCTCTCTCTCTCTCTCTCTGCATACAGGCTATAGATCTATTCAAATCACAAGATTCAACTGCTTTACTAAGTAACGGACTTTTCCTATAGTTGATATTGATAGTAATAGTGGCAATGAAAACAAAGCTGCGTATTTGTAAGACGTCATCTTCTGAGTACATTTAATTTGTACAGCTGACTTCAGAAGTTGAACCACATATAGGAGACATCATTGCCTCGATTAATCTGATCACAAATATTTGACTGTGTACTGAGGTTAAAGAGGGACAAAGTCTTTCTCTTTGATCAAGTTTTAGCTAGGCTAGCCTAGTTTTAGTAAGAACCTTGCTAAGTCAGTTTACAGGCAAATCTCTCACCTTTGAGATCTGCTCAAATTCAATATCTGATCAATTTCCTATCTGCTTTCAGTAAGAATCCCATTGAGCTGGCTTAGCAATAATTCTCCCCCCCCCCTGGATGTCACCTCGTAGTCATTTTCTATTCACTAACCCTATTATCCTGCTGGTTGGCTAGGAATCCTCAGCTGTCTTTGATGTAGTCTGAGTTGAGCTCAATCTTTCTACCCAAAACAATAGTCAATCCTGAATAGTCTTCCCTACCATTTGTACAAGCATCAGAATAATTTTTTTCTTAGAAAGAAAAATGATGACAAAGAATGGCTGAACACTCTGCAGACAGGCAGGATCATCTGGAAACTCTCATTTCACCAGGGGTCTCAGTGTTATGACAAAGTGAACAGCATTCATGCCAAGGCATCTGTAGATAGACTATCCTTTTGTTAAGTCCTTTGGTTTCAATACAAATCTCTCAAACTTCAGTCTACATATTTATTTAACAGAAAACCAAATGTATTTCGCTTCATGAGTGGCATAAGGATTTTCAAGAATAACTTTGATTACTTGATTTATCCTTTACTGTTTAATTCCTGAGTAAGAGGATATTCTCTGCTGCTTTTTACTTTATGAAATGGTTTTGGACAAACTGGGTGCTCAAAGTAACCCTTGAATTGGAAGGCTACTGCCTTTTATGAAAGAGTGAGGAGCTTGAGAGCAATATGCAAGTGTACTATCCAATTTTAGGTGAGAATATTGGAATTTTTCCAGGAATATGTATGGTAGATTGTGTGTGTGTGTGTATGTGTGTGTGTAAGATGGCTATGATGTTTCTGTTTCAAGCCCTTGATTACTGAACATCTCTGTTGACTCTTTTTTACCATGTGACTCACTTTGGCAAATGAGACAGTAGAACGTGATTCACAAAGACAGTTGAAGGATGCCTGTCCATCTGGGCTTATTCTCTTGCTGTTCCTGGAATTCTGAGACTTCCACATAAACATGCCTGCTAGAGGATCATAAACATGTGACACAATACTTCCCATCACCCAACCAACAGCCAGTCAACACTCAGAAGCAGAGCGATAGATTAGCACTGGTATCAGGTATGTGAGTCTGTCTAACATCATATGAACCACCCATCTATCTGCAGCCCAGATTTCCAACCCTCATAATAAAGAATGAAATAAATGATTGCCAATAAATTTGGAGAGGTTTGTGTTGCAGCAAAGGCTTACAGATACAACAGGAAATAGAGACTTTGAGATTGATTAGCCTGAGAACAAGAACTAAGCGTAGCCCAGACTTACTTAGACTGTTGGTAAGAGTATGCAGGTGCGTGTTCATTGGATGTGTCCACTGTTATCTGTTGCTGCTGACCACTGGTGTCCTGGGATGAAGGAGCCACTGTCTGGGGAGAGGTATCAGCAACAACACCCTGGGGAGATGAGTAAGTACACAAAAGCCTTATTTGCTTTAGCAGACAGTCCTCTTCTATATGAACCATTAATACCCCTCTTCTATTTGGCTTGGATGGAGATGTTCTTAGCTATGTGAAGCCATACTAAGTATTCAGAATAAACACACCATCAGACAAGCCACAGAGCAAGTCTGGATAAGATCTGAGGAATTCGTCCCAATGTGACACCAATAAGGTTTGCCATCATGAGTCCTTGGAGAAATCAAATGGTTAGAATGGTCCTTACGCCCACACTTGGAACTTTCAGACAGTGGTTTAATGCAACCACAATCAATAACAATTTGTTAACTTTTTTAAGGTTAAAAATTTGCACATGGTTGCTATAAAAACTTGCATTTCAAACATTTCCTGAAGTATTTCATTGTACTATATCTGTATCATTTGGCAAAATAATGAGCTATGACCTTAATAAAAGTTTATATCACAATTTGGAAATCTTTTTAAAGGATACGGATAACCATAATTTGGTTCATTTTGCTTTTTTTTTTCTGTTTTCCAAGATATAAGTTGGAATTCATAAAAAAATGCAAAAAAAAAAAAAAAAGCAAAACACTACAGGGAGCTAGCTCACCCCTTCATCCATGTGAGGGCAAAGCTAATAGACACTGTCTCTGAGGAATAAATCCTCAACAGACATTGAAACCTCTAGTGTCGTGATCTTGGACTCCCAGGATCAGCTTCCAGAATTGTGAGAAATAAATTTCTGTTGTTTATAGGCTAAAAAAAAGAATTTTCAAGAAAAAGAAAAAAGACAAACTTGTCCTTAATTTGGTTTGTTGTTCCTTCGTGATTTCTATCTCTTGTTCCTCACAGACGCCAGCAAGAATGAATTTCTAGAGTTGGCCACAAACGGGAGCATATGCTTGCTTCCTAAGTGGCAAAGCTAGTTTTATTTGGTTGTTAGTAGGCATAGGAAGGGCGTCTTCCAGAATGCATCGTCCTGGTTTTACTTATAGGCTTAGATACCTGCAGTGATGTTAGGTTTCAAATCTTATTGGCTAATTCTCTGTCTCTAACAAAAGATACCCAAAATTCTTCCTTAGAATCTGAGACTCTCCCTGTATTCCTTTTATACTGCTAATGTAATGTTTGCTACTGTGTATTTTAATGAACTATCCACTAGCATGCACTTGCAGGGGTACTAGTGGATGTTCCATGAAATCAGTGCTTTTCCTTACAAGCACAGATTGAAGACAGGATATGAGTAAGCTTACATTTTTCAAAGTGAAAGACTTCATTTTTAACCATAACTAAACTGTCTCCAATAAACCACACTGTTAAATGTGTCTCATTATCTTATCATCATCAAAATGCTCAAATTCTTTGGCTAAACTGATGCTTGGGTTGTAGATACAAAAGAATGGAAATAGGAAAAAATTCAAAAAGTTCAGCAGAAATGCACATATCTTTTAAAAGACTTTCCCACAGACTATTTGAAGTACCCTCGTTTGTGGCAGATATTTATGTTTCAATTTCTTAGAATGTCTAGATTCTTAATTTTCTAATGGCATGGATGCTTTCCAATAGTTCAATATAGAAAGGAACATGTAATTTAATTACATATTTTTAAAGTTCCAACAAGCCAATTAAAATTGGTTTAATATGACATATTCTTTGGGGTCCATAGGTCTGCAACACATAAAAATTTTAAAAATTGAAACATCTTTATTTCCTAAAATGCTTTAACAGTGCCTCATTCAACTTCTGGGACTTCCTAGCCTTGGTATGAGCAAACATCTCTCACACAACAAAAAGAAACAACCAAATAGTTTAGAAGATCTAATTCAGGTTGCAAAGGTCTCCTGCAACCTCTGGAGCTGCAGAGGGAGAGAGGATCTTGGAGAATTTGCAGTTGCAGTGGTGCCAGTCCCCTGGTGGCTGGCCCTCTCATGCAGCAGACAGCATTAATTCCAGGAGATTCCCAGCTTGTGAGAAAGATGCACTTTAAACATAATGTGATATGCATCAGGACAGGGAGATGAGGGACAGTAAAAAGTCAGGGTTAGAACCAGAGTGAAGATATACATCTAAACTTTTTTATTTTTTTTCACCACCATCTTTACAGCTCTATGCCTTTTCCTTTTCTATGTAGCTTGATGATTCTGTCCAGTCAAACGATATGTAAAAATGATGGATTCAGTCCATGGAAAGAGAGAGAGAACATGGGCCATGTTTCATTAAGGACAAGAATGACAGACACATCATTCACGATGGTTACACTGATAACCATGGTCCAGCTCTTTCTTCTTTTTTGTAGGAAGTCACAAAAATATCCAGATTCATTCACTGGGACAATGGTTCTTCATCTTTGGCAAATGTGGAAATCAACCAAAAGCTTTTAAAAACCTTGACACCCAGTAGGCATTCCAGAATCTCAGAGGTCAGACCAGGAATCAATATATATTTTTTAAAGATTCCAAGGTAATTTTTTTTGTGCAGAAGAATCTGAGAATTAGCAAACTGGATTAATGACTCTCAATGTTAATATGCATGTGGATCGCTGAAGGATCATCTTAAAATGCAAATTCAGATTCAGTAGGTACGGGTGAGATCTGAGCGTCTGTGTTTCTAACAAGTTTCTGGGTGATGCCAATAAAACCAGGGGGCACCCTGAGTAACAAGGAATCGGAGAATTGTACTAATACTTGTAAACTGTTTTTGCTTCCTATTTCTATTTAGATGACTCACTATGTTAATGCGTTGGTCTCTGGATGGATATTTCTCCAAATATACAAATGACCTTGCCCTCATACCACTGTAGCAGGTTAGGCGTTTCACGTGTAAATCAAAAACACCAGCATGTTCCACAAGAGGTATATACTTTCATACCTATTTGAGCTTGCAGTTTCACATTTTAGAGGCACACACAAGTGGGGTCCTTGGGTTATGGGACCTCGGTAGATGTGACAGAGATTGGTCTCTCCCAACCTCATTCTGTAAGATAAGAGCAGACTTACTTCGATAGAAACAGCTGTCGGAGGCACAGGCGTGTACTGGGGAATGTAGGTCCCTTGCATAGGAGCGGCAGCAGTCATATACTAGAGGGAATCAAAGAAAAATCCACGTGAACTTGGGGTTGCAACCAGAGAGAGCGTTAGATACCACACGTGTGGACCATGGCCAGCACCTAAGTCAACCTCTACTTGATGCATTATGCCAGTTCCTACTGGCATTGAATGGCCTTGGTTTACTGACTCAGTACCCAAAACAGACCCATCTCCATGGTGTCAGTACAGGTTAACATCCCTACTTGCTCACTCTACCCCTGCAAGCCCTCCACCTAACATCTGAGAAACATCGCTTTTCACATCTCAGCACAAGCTCCACAGGGGTGAAGAGGAGGTCTGTTTTTTTTTTTTTTTTCCATCGTTTTATTGCTACTTCTATCACATAGTAGGCTCTGGACAAATATTTGTTGAATGAATGAATGAATCATATTAATTGGTAGACCTAATTTCTTTTCTAATTAAAAAGGAGAGGGATGATGTATAAAACTCTCGGGTGGCAACATTCAGAAATGGCAAGTGTTGTCATTTTTTGTTTTTCACAACACTTTTGTTAACATAGGGTATTACAGATCATGTTGACTCTCCTTTGTCCCACCTCCATTCCATTCTCAGCTCACTGTCAGATTTTCCTTTCTAATTCCTTTAATTCTCCATTATTTTCCTTGTTAGGATGAATATTGAAATAGCCAGACTGTTTTTCACTAAGTTGTAACAGTCAACAAGATATACATTGTGAATATGTGATTTTTGCAAGGAAGAAAAGAGCCCCAGAAAAATTACATGCTCAGTTCTAGAAGCATAAAGTGTGACCCACATTCCTGTTTGTGACACATATTCCCCTGTAAATTCAGAGTCCTATTCTCTGAAAACTGGATCTTCTATGGAATCATTTACATTTTTTGATTTTCTAAACTTGACCAGTATCACAAAACTTCTGAACTGGAATCATCTTATGAAACAAGGATCCTTAATTCATAAAAGGAAGAGGGATGCATTTTTTGGAAAATCAAGTCTTTTAATACCGATTCTTTTAACTTTGTTGATATCAAATATTAACACTATGTAAAATATGAAAACTCGGAATTACCATGTTTTATCTAAGTACTTCCCACTATCTAGGAGGTATGATCTGATCAAGGGAATGGACATTAACTCACCAGTTGTTGTTGTTACATATTCCCAATTACAGTAATAAGACCACTTTGGAATGCATTACCTTCAACCTAAACACTATCCCACAGTAATTTCTAAAAATAGAAACAGCCTTAATGAGACAGTCCTAAACCAAATAAATGAAACTGCTGTCTATAATTCATGTGTTCAATTTAGCCTATGTCTACATAAAAATTACCTTGTAATTTGAATCAAGAGCAGGGCCTTGAAAGGGTTAGTGATATTTGCAATTAGATTTCAGCTGAAAGTCATCAGAGACTTCTGTCCCCTCTCCCGTGTGCTCTTAACAGCATGTGTCACCTTCGGCTACAAATGTGTACACTAGCATCTCCTTCAAGGCATGGGACAAGTTTTATTCATTTCAAGCTTTTCCATTATGCAAGAAAGTGTTCAATAGCTGAATGAAGCGAGAGAAGAAGAAAGACTTCCACTTCATTATCTTGCATGCCTCTTAGCTATTGATAATTATGAGCTCATTATAGAATTAATTTCAGCAATCCTTATAATGTATTTGCATAAGCTTGAGACAAACACCTTAGCCAACTCTGCCCATTATTGTCCTTGTGCCCATTAGTGGACAACAAGTACCTCAGTGTTCTATGGCTATTAAGTACAGAACTGTGGAGTCAAACTCCAGTAAATATGGTTTCACAACTAGCAACCTATGGTGGGCAAGTGCCTTGTTGACAAAGCTATAACAATTCCCCGATCATTTCAGATAGGTATTTCCCTCTGTTTATACTTTCTAAAATATGCTTTAATTTAACATGTCCTTCAAGATAGTCTTTGCAACACTTGCTATACTAAGAGAAAACATTAAGTTCTCCAAAAGGGCACTTCAGCAATGCTGCATAATATATTCTATTCCTTGATATGGACAGCAATAAAACATTCAGAGATCATGTTTTATAGAAGCCTACTTATCAGTGATTAAACCTGCATTTCTACAATTTTTTGATGGAACTTATGAAATTTGCTAAGAACTAGTACTCTAAGGAGTACACTGTGAATCATATTTCGGCAGTTGAATCTCAAAAATGCTAGTAGATTTGTAATAAATGTACTTTTTAGCAGGCATATATTGATTTAAATATAGGACTGATACTGTTATGACTCATGTTCTATCCTTTAATTATGGCTTTTCAAGGTTGACATACACTGATAATAACGTTTTGCATATTTTCTGTTCTGGAGTTAATAAATCCAAACTTTGCATCTGCACCTTAGTGTGGGTCCTTTGCATGAGATGATGTCTCTGGGGACCAGTGGAATGGCATAGTGGGAAAGCCTGGGATGCCTGCATCCTATATGAGTGCTGGTTTGAGATCTGGCTTCTCTACTTCTGATCCATCTCCCTGCTAATGCACCTGGGAAAGAAGCAGAGCTTGGCAGAAATGCTTGGGCCCCCAAACCCACATGGGAGGCCCAGAAATAGCTCTTGTCTCCTGGTTCTGCCTGGCACAGCCCAGGCCATTGTGGCCATTTGGGACTGTGTGCTTCTCTAGTGAGCAATTTTTATTTATTAGAGGTCATTAAAGGCATGATCGGTGATCATAAAAGCAATGTTCACTATTTCACATGAGAACCCAATCCATTATTTAGACCTCCCTAGCAAGCAAATATATTCTCAGGCAGTATGGCTAATGAGAAACATCTAATGTGATCATAACTAAGCTTCTTCAAGTGACTGTGAGATATTCAAAATCTCATCTGTGCTTTGTAGCTGTAAAACTAAATCAGTCAGTCTTCACTCATGACATTCAACATTAAAAATTGATTTATTTTATTTTACTTGAAAAGCAGAAAGAGAGAGAGAAAGGAAGGGAAAAATAAATGGATAGATGGAACTTTTCCATCCACTGGTTCACTCCTCAAATGCTCACAACAGCTTGTAATGGGCCAGGCCAAAGCTGGAAGCCCAGAACTCTGGCAGGGACCAGTACCACCATCTGTTGCTTCCCAAGGTATCAGGAAACTAAAATCAGGAATGGAGGAATGGAGTCAGGAATCAAGCTTAGGCACTTCAATATGGGATGCTGGAGATGTGGGCTCTAACAAACGCCCACCTCAGTAGAGTTCTGAACACGGTCGGAACTGAACTGCATATGGAGTAACTCATAGTCATTTTCTCTTTGAATTAACTGTACGAGTCTGGTAGGATGGTTCAACCATGTTACAGGTGGAGAAACTGACACCCACATGTAATGGATACAAACCCCCGATACCTCTGACCCTTATTCAGCACATTTTTTTTCAGTCTATCTCATGAACTTTGAAGTTCAAAAGTAAGGTTCCTAAGAGTTCCCTTCTGATCATTACTGTGTAATACAGATATCAACTTGGATTTATTAATGGGTTTTAATTATTGAAATTTCAGTTAAGAAACTGAAGAATATGTAATTCATTGATATTTTATTGTTATTTCTTTTCCATACTTTTTATCTATTATAATCACAATACCTAATTTTCTTCTCGAAGGGTTACTCCATATACTTGGTAACTTAATTGTGTGCTTCTCTTCTGAACACAATCAATAATGATTTTATAGGATAAATAAGGTCAGTCCAGGTTGAGAGGGTTTGTGGGCGTGTATGTGTGTGTGTGAGTGTATATTTTAATGCAAAAATCTGTAAGGTTCCTTGTTTTTTTGTCACAGAAAACCCAATAGACAGAACTTAAGAAAGTTGTTTGAAAATTAAGTAATGAAACATGTCAGTGCTGTGGAGTTTTATGCCCCTTCAGACTATTATCTCACAATAAACCTTAATAGGAAAGCTCGTCTGTGATAGACATGCATTTTCTAATGTAGTGACTCAAGGAGTGATGTGTTCTAAAATTGGGAGCAAGTTCTTAGAGGAAATGGCCACATCTATGTGCTAGCTCTAGAACCCTCAGTTTAAAGTTATTGATGACAAATAACTTTGAACTTATTCTTCACACAGTTTGATTTCCTTAAGAACACAGATAAGCTACAGTCAGACTTAATAATCCAGGCTGCACAAACACTGTTCCTGTCTGAGTACATCAGACTGCTCTCGTTCTATCCAGTTAGCAAAGCACTATGAGGAAGACTTGTGATGTCAGTTTTGCCCATTTGGCTTGATAAATTTTCATGGATTACTCATTAAAACCATCACAGGAATGGACACACATCCCTTAAGCTGATTTCCTTCCCTGGTGTCTCTCAAAAGCTAGAAAATAATGGCCTCATTTTTTTCATGTGAACACAAATTATTTAGTGCTTTATTTTGATACAGCAGCTGATGGGAACATCATTACAATGAAATGATAAAGATAAAATGGATGAATCCAATGAACATTTCTCAAACAGTGACAGCTTGAAGGTATTCCGTTAATTAATCTTCTGTTTATTTCTAGTAACTCTCATCATCATTTTTACATATCTCAAGGCAGTGGACTTTCCCATGTAAGCACGTAGGAGCCCCAGAGAACCACTTTCAAACCCACAGAATTAATTCCAGATTCCACCACTTGTTCCAAGAAGTCTAGACACTGCCTCACCATGAGTTACATGAACAGAGGGAAACAGAATTGAGAGATTGGAAGGGAATCGTGTTTTTGCCCAAGCTGGGACAAGTTGTTTCTGTTACTGTGGAATCGTTGATTATTTCTGTGGACACAAAGGAAGAAAACCCCAAATTATCAGTTCTGGACTTATTCTCTCTACCCTAAAGTACAACAAAACACTTTTTCAATTACATTTCCTGTGAGATAACTTAATTGTGCCTTTAATTATTTGCAGAGCAAAGAAGGGATAAAGGCGGTCCCCCGTTTCAATTTCAATTTTTACAATTTTAGCTTCGAAAATGCTTTAAAATAATGGATCAAGCTGTCTC